GACCCTTTGGACACAAAACACAATATCGAGCACCAGTTACATTGTTGTATGTTCCATTAGCACATTCTTCTGGTGCTTCCATTCCAACACTTGGACAATGAAAGCCAGCTGGACATAGTTTACAATCACTCAGACTTTCAACGTCTGAATAAGTTCCATTTGAACATAGAACATGCATAGAAAGTCCTTTGGTTGGACATGAAGCTCCTTTGGGACAAGGTTGACATTCAATACTCCCTGCTGCAGCATATGAACCAGCTGAACATTCCACAGTAGCTGTTTTATTTGGGCAACTGAAATGGCCAGGTATTGATAGTTACAATTAACTTGTTCATAAACACCTATCTGTGAATTATAAGCCAACATTAGTGCCAAAGGTGCTTCACTGATGACTTGCTAAAAAAATTATTGAATTATCTTCTTGGTGAAGGTGCTTTCTGCAAGCCAAATAAAATAACTTGTATATGGTTATTCAAACAGCTCAGGTGATGACATACTTGGAGGAAGAACACTTATGCTAGCATACTGAAGTTATCAAAACAAATTGCGTTCCTCACTGAAAGATGTAAAGAGTCGAGTAAGGAGTGCAAAACAGCAAGTTGGAGAGATTTTGGGAATACAAGATGAGAAAAGAGTATTGACATTTTTCCCAAAAAATGGTTGTCGTGTTCCTGGAAATGATGCAGTGCATTGGTGCAAATGTGTTGATCTTCTCAAGCTGACTGGTGCTTCAAAATGAATGGTGCAAAACGTATAACAGTTATTTTTTGTAGTTCCCATAATGAAATTCAGGTACAATGCACAGTTTTACAATACAGTTAAACAACAATTAAAATTTTAGGTTGATAAATTACCACATCAAAACAATGTCAAGAATATAGTTGTTCAGTAATGATTAACATACAAAGAAAGATACTTTCTTCTGATCCATGCATGTATCAAGTTCTCCAATAATAAATAATAATAATAATTACGATAATAATAACGATGAAGATGATGATGATGAAGATGATGATGATGATGAAGATGATGATGATGATGATGATGATGATGATGATGATGATGATGATGATGATGATGATGACAATGTTGATGATGATCAATCATAAGTTGAAAATGACTTGATGGGGGCCAATCACATGAAAGGAAGGTCTTATTCCAGGCTAAACAGTTCACCTATGACCATCTGGACACAAAATACAATATTGAGCACCAGTTGCATAACTGTATGTTCCATGAGCACATTCTTCTGGTGCTTCCATTCCAACACTTGGACAATGGAAGCCCGCTGGACAGAGTTTACAAGCACTCAGATTTTCAGCATCTGAGTATGTTCCATTTGAACATGGAACATAATTATGTAGCAAGTCCTTTGGTTGGACATGAAGCTCCTTTGGGACAAGGTTGACATTCAATGCTCCCCGCTGCAGCATATGAACCAGCTGAACATTTCTCAGGAGTTGTTTTGTTTGGGCAATTGAAATGGCCAGGTATTGAGATTTACAAAAAAAAAATGTTAAAAAATATGTTTCTGTGGATTCAGCCAACACATACCAGTCATAGTGCTCTATTGGTGAAGTTAAATGTTTAGTGATGTGATCTTCTTGGTGATGATTTTCTGAGCCAACTTAAAGAACTTACATCTGGTTATTCGGTAAAAGTACGTATACATTAGAGACGGTGCACTAAACTTAACAAAACAATGTATGCATCTAACTGCAGGATCTTAAAAGCCAACCTAAGAATATAAAAAATTGGAATGATTTTCAGAAGATAAATTAAAGCTTAAGGGACGTAACAGCCATATTTAAAAGTCAGAGGAAAAAGACTGATGCTAATCAATTACAGAGTGGGATGCATTGGTGCTGGTGTATATGAGTGAAAGCTGCTAAGAATGTTTACCAAAGTATATTTAGTGACTTTAATCAACAGTACAATTAAATTTGAAGGTAAGTTGAATGTAAAGATACTTGTATTATTGTTCACAGTTCCAGTTAGGTGGCATCTGTGAACTGTATGTGTTGATTGCATCCAATGAGCATGAATGACCAGATCAATGCATGGATTAAGGCATGGATTTGCATCTGTGAACTGTAGATGTCGGTTGGATCCAACGGATAAATATGAATGACCAGATCGACCTATGGGTTGATGCATGGATTGATAACTGCAATAACCTCACCTATGACCCTCTGGACACAAAATACAATATCGAGCACCAGTTGCATTATTGTATGTTCCATTAGCACATTCTTCTGGTGCTTCCATTCCAACACTGGGACAGAGGAAGCCAGCTGGACATAGTTTACAATCTCTGAGACTTTGTGCATCTGAGTACGTTCCATTAGAGCATAGAAAATATGTAGAAAGTCCTTTGGTTGGACATGAAGCTCCTTTGGGACAAGGTTGACATTCAAAGCTCCCTACTACAGCATATGAACCAGCTGAACATTCCACAGGAGCTGTTTTATTTGGACAACTAAAACCCCAAAAATAGAATGCCATAAAATAACTTTGAATCAAGAAATTATCTGATCATAATTTCACCTATGAGTGCATCATGCATGTGTTCAGGTCCATAGTGCTGTGGTGTGATCAATAAGACTTGCTAGGGTGTGACAGCCATGCTGCAGTTATGGCTCTATTACATAATGCTTAGTGCAGGTTATTCTGGGTCATACAGTAACGACATTTGTCAGTGGTGCAGATCATAACCATGTAACTTGTGCTAAGTGCATTTTCTCAGGATCAGACTGCGATAGCTTGATGCATGTGATATATTAAAGAGCAGCAGAGTGACATTTACATGATATCTGTGATGCATTTTTACAAACTTTTAATTAAGTGCATGGTACTTATTCCAGGTTTGCATGCACCAGAGTGTGATGGTGTGTAAGGTGCAGTTGTACAATCACTTTTAGTGCCTCGTGCAGGTTTAGACTAAGATTAGATGGTGTGACAGTTTTTTACATGCTGTTCGTGCTTTAACACAATGACATAATGTGACAGATAAGTTTTATTTAGAAGTTTGAAATTAGGTTGAGTATGATCATCATAGTGCAGTGCTGAAGTCCATGGTTATAACTGGCATGCTCTTAAATTGTGCAAATAAAACTGAAACAATTTTTTTTAGGTTACATCATTGTCCCTGTTCCTTTCATGAACTACCAGAGGATGCTAGTATCATTTGTACCTTACGACAGATAAGAATTAAGCCCTTCATTTCAATAAGCTCCACAGGAGCTCAAAGTAGCCCTATAATTTTCATACCTGTACCCTGCTGGACAAATAGTACATTGAGTAGAGCCGGTGAGGCTAAAGGTTCCATTTTCACAGGGCACTGGAGAGACAGCAGGATTTGGACACTTGAATCCTTCTGGACATTGGCTACACAAATCTTGACCCTCTGAATCTGTATATGTTCCATTGCGGCAAGGGACATGAGTAGAGAGTTGAGCTGAAGGGCAATGTGATCCAGCTGGACACTGATAGCAAACAAGACTCCCACTTGGTGCATATGTCTTAGCCTCACATGGAATAGGGTCCAAGTCCTTATTGGGACACCTGGGGCATGAACACAAAAAAGCACCTTGAAAATGAATGCTCAGTTTGATGCACAGACATCATAAACACAGGCTGCTAGTACTTTATAGATAAAAAATGTAATTTTTTATCTCAACTGAAAAATACAGAGACACATGAGAAAGCTTGTGAGTTTTATGGAGGCCTCTTAATTATTAACATATCTATCATAAAGGGGATACTGTAAAAGCTTGTGGATAAGCCGCACCCACAGGTAAGCCGCACCCACAGGTAAGCCGCACCCTGAATTTAGCAGCTCAAATTTTGGGAAAAAAAGTTTTTGGATAGAAATCAAAAGAAATCCAAAGCTGAGTCTGGAGAAGTCTTCTTCATCCACTGTTCATCAAACATAAACTCATCATTAACATTGCAACGGAAAATACTTCAAACTGTTAACCACAATTTTAGCACTTTAATATAATGAACATCATTTCTACTCACTTTGAAATATGATTGGTCTTTTTCTGGTATTTGTTGACAGGAATTTCTTCATTCAACACAGCTTTTCCATAGATTTTAGCATTACAACAAGAACGTGAGCAGAACATTCGAAGCTTAGTAACCAGGCATTAGATCACATGCGAAAAATTATGGACATTCACGACACCTTTTTCAAATGTTCCTGCAGATAAGCTGCACTCCCAATTTCTGGCGATGATTTTTGGAAAAACAGTGCAGTTTATCCGTGGACTTTTACGGTAAGTTTCTAAAGAAACTGTGGTGCTGCGTTGATGGGG